TGTATTATTATATTAGATTCTTAGATTTCTAATGCATAATTTAATCAATGCTATAGATTTATTTTTAATGTATATTTAATTAATTTTATATTTACCAGCCTTCGAGCTGAATGAGCCACCCTGTAGAATTTTTTAATCTTTTTGGTTCTTAAAAATCATTAGTTTGCATAGCGGAGCATTTCATGGTCATGTCTCTAAGGTCTTTATTTAGAGCAATAAGGCGGCTATCTTTTTTAAACAGGTCGCTTTGTGTCCCCTGCGAGAACAAAAACACTTGCCACAAAGGCTAATGCTCAATTTGTCTCAATTTGTCAATTTGGAACTTGCGAATTTTTGCCAATTTTTTTCCCCGCCAAAAATTTTTGCCAATTTTTTTCCTCGCCAAAAATTGGAAATATTTGAATTCACTCTAGTGCGACCCGGCCCACACCAAAACCTCCGTAATCACTCTAGCCGATCACAGAGGACGGAGAAAATCCACTGAACCAATCAAAACTCCTAGCAACTAATGTAGCTGACGCGAAGCGAGGAAAACGCGACGAGCGCGAGTCACGATTGGTTTTGAAAAGCAAAGCAACTGTGAATTACTTTCGCTACTCGAGGAAAATCGCCTTAAATTTAGCGCGATAGATGATTTGTAATATAACAAAACACTTTGCTTGGGCAATGCGTTATTACATTTACCACAATTATTTGTGTTAATTATATGGCTCTGCATCACAAGGACTGGGAACTACCAAATTCTCGAATCTGATTGGCTGAAATCGATATTGAAAGCGGTCTAGATTTTACCATCTAGACCGGCATCTAGACCGGTAATGTTTTGCAGTGAAAAAGTTGCGAACTAAAATGCAAATCATGGACTATTTTCTTCTAACAATATTTATTTATGGAAGTTCCAAAAAGGTTGATAATAAAAAAAAAAGTAAAGAGGACGAGCAAACTTTGGCAGAATTAAATTCAGCTCATCGCCGTTCGCAAGCAAATTGTCAGTTAGTGCAAACCAGTTACATTACTTAAACGAATTAAATTGTTCTTGTTTGCCATATAATGAACATCTTATTAACCGAGCTTCGTCGGTCTGTATCAGGAGAATCTTGACCTCGGTCGTGTACTCACGACCTCGGTCAAGATTCTCCCATACAGACCTCCTGCTCGGTAAATAAGAGCTAATTATTTTTATGTAGCATAATCATATTACATTTAGCGTTAACGTGTATTTGTACTACATTAACGGAGGGGTATGTTTTTACATTTGGGATTCATTTTAATTACATTCACGGTAAGTATTTTTTAGCTACCACTGGAAACGACACGATTGAGAAAGTGCCGTGAAAGTGTGTATGGTCTATAATCTCATTTAATAATAAACTGCATCCATCAAACACTACGAACCTTAACGACACGAAAACGAAGCAAGTTCTTCAAATGCCTCGTTTGCATCTTACTTTGCCGGTTTCGTAAACTGGCACTAACTGTCACGGCAGCTATTCCATCCCGCTTTGATCTGCTGACGGATAATATAAAAAGCGGGAGAATTTAGCCTGAGTGCAGAAGTCTCTAATTT